CCCCCCCCCCCCCCCCCCCCCCCCAAAAAAAAAAAGAAAAAAGAAAAAAAACGATTCAAAATTGAGATTATTAGACTTGTTTTTCAAATAAATGAATAATTAGATATTTGGGGCCAAATCAAAAACTTCAGAGTTCAGACAATATGTTTCTGTCCTTCATTATCGGTACCCCAAATACAAAAACAGAAAGCTATATATAAAAAATAGCAAACACTCATTAAGCAACCAAATTGGTTGCTCTCAAGAACCCACTGTGTTCAATCAAAACCAATTTCAGTATGCACGCATCACACACACACACAAACATATATATATATATACCTCAAGAGCATGAGCATATCGTTTGTGGAACCGGAGCTCCTTGATGAATTCACGGAGCTGATTTTTGTTGACAGGTTGTCCTTCAAGGACCCATTGATTGAGAAATAGTGAAATGGTGATCCTTTGATCTGCAAGTGACGATATTCTGTTGTACAGCACGTTCATTGCATCTGTCCATGGCTTTTTTGTTCGTCCAGTTGGGGTTGTCGAGTACGAACGATTAATGATAAGTGGCTGTCTTCGAGGACCTATTACAGTGTTTCTGATGATCCTGTGGTGCAGTGTTTTAACGGTTAATGGAACAAGTTTCATCGTCTTGAAGACTGACATGGACATGGCTAGCTAGAGGAAGAGAGGGAGAGAGTGAGCCTGGTTTTTAATGAATTATTTATTATTTTTCAGGTGAGTGAGGTATTAAAGGTGTCTGCCATCGTTAAGATCAAGATCTACGAGGGCTCTTGATTTTACTATTCATCCCCTCACAAGTCTTTGTGAATTCGTACAGTGACTTGTTTTTTTTTATTTCAATTTTTTTTATTTAGTAATTAGATATTGTATTTATTAGTGTTTGAATTTCCTTATTTCTTCTGATTTAATTTTAATAGGTTATCGTGTTCTTTAAAAAGTGTCATTTTTTTTGCATTTTACAAAATAAATCAACATTGCTATTTAGAACAGATTGAGAGTTAAGGGAACTAAAATTAAAAAGGATAAAACATCAATAGCATTCTTTTTTAAAAAAAAAGTTGTATCCAGAACTTCATTTTTTTTTATTTCTATAAAAAAAAATTTACAGAAAAGAGATAAAAATAGATGGTTGCTCAAATTTAATTTATAAGAAATAATTAAATTTGATATTGAAATATGTTTATTTCTATTAGCTAGTTTTATTCCTGTGCTACACTATGAGTTAAAGCAATTTTTTTAACGCAAAAAACAAATATGGGCGTTGTTAACGTCTTTTTATCATTAAAAAAAAATTAATCGCAAACTTAATAGTTGATACATGCCTTTAAAAAAAATATATTATAAAGTATATGTACAAATAAATGCTAATGAATTTGATAATTTCAACTAAAAATCAAGTTGAAAATTCAATATAAAAATATATATTAAGATATATGATTTTATATTGGGGGAGCTCTTTGAATTTTTTATTTAATCATTTAATAATAAAATTGTTTTTTTAGAAAATAAATAATTTCAAGACCATTGTAAAAAATTTAGTTCAATCCCTCCTTTTGTTATTAATATATTCCTTTTAACAAAAAACATATTTTTGTTTTTTTGTCATGCTTTCTTAATTTAATGAAAAAACAAATAGAATAAGATTAAATATAGACATTTTATTCTTAAAAGGCAAATTATTATCAAATTTACACGTATCCTACTTATATATAATTATCCATCAGGGAATCAAGAACATCTCTGTAATTTTTTAAATCTTCTTAAAAGCAACAACATTTTTTTTTATTAGGAGCATATTTTTCTAATAAAAAGAGCGATCATTAAAATAAAAATTTGTTAAAAATTTAAGCTATTTGAAATAATTTGAAAAAATATATTTTTCAACTGTAAACTCAATTTTTTTATTGATGCATATCTCGATTATTTTAGTAAAAGTTTTTTTTTAATGGGAATAACTATTCAAAAAAAATTCATGATTGTCAAAGAAAGTTAAGAAAATATATATCAAAATAATGTGTCTATATTTTGTATGTTATTGAAGGCTAAAAAAATAATAATAAGTGATAAAATCATATAAAAAATCTATTTAAAACTTTTTAAAATCAAAATTTGATTTTAAGGAATATTAATGAGCAATTTAATATTGTTATTGTTGTTAATTGATTGATTATAAATTGTTTCTTGTTTTGTTTTCAATCATTTTAAAAATTTTATCCCTCTATATTTGGTATCATTTTATTTTTATATTAAATTTGGCTCTCATTTTGTTAATTACTATTTATTTTGTTTTGAAATATTTTTTTATTAATATTTTTTAAATTTTATCTCTCAATATTTTATTAATTTTAATTTTGTTAATCAGGAACTTGAATTCATGATTTGTTAGGAATTTTTTTCTCATTCTCATTTAATTTTTATTTTATTATCATATAAGATCATGAAGTTCTTTTAAGAATATTAGAGTATATTTCCATGAAATTGATAGTGTATTATTTATAGTTAATTGATGTAATTTTTTTAATTTATTTTCTGTCATTCTCTATTTTTTATTATATTATTAAATTAGTTGAATTTATTAAATAACATTAAATCAATAATATGAGTTTTAAATTTTTCTTACTATTATCATTTTTTATATTAAAAAATTAATTTAAGTCGGAGTATAATAAAGGCCATCAATATAAACTAGAAATCTTAGAGGCTTTGTATTTTAATTATGACAATGAAGATTTCATGATAAAAATAATTAAAAATTAAAAATAAATACTATAGCTAGATGAAAGAGTTCTAAATACTTGTTAACAGGACTCAATCTGAAAATCAAAACTTACTTGCCAGGAGTCATCAAATTTAACCTTTATGAAAATACTAGCACAACACATTTTCCATAATCGCTTGCCGATTGAGATCCTAGTGCCCCGAAAATATAACCGTCCGGGGAGGACAATGTGGGCTAAAATTTAGAATCATTCTAGTGTTCTACGAAGGTCCATGGGATGTGAAAAACAACCTCGCGGTACAGTGGAATTATGTTAATCAAGCAGAGCCGTACCTTTTCACAATTATAATCATCACGCTCCATTTACCAACTGCCATCAATATCAATTGACATGATCCTTCCGTAAATTACAGTCAATTAATAAGAACTGCAAATTCTGACACCATAAACGTAATGACAGAGCAGCGAGATTAACCAGGGTGGGGACTTTCCAAACTTCTCCAATTCTTCTACCCTAAAAGTCATTGAAACCACTCATCTGTCATCCACCCAGAAACATCCCTGTCCTCCAACAGGGAGAGAATAGAGGCCATTGCTGCTCCTTAAGTGTGTCAAGGATGAAGTCCTTGACCAAATAGTTAACAAGATAATATTTATAGGTAAACACCCTAGCGTTGTTGGCAGTATCCAGAGTTGAAGTCCCACAGGCTACTAACGAGCTAGGCAATGTTATCATAAGCAAACTAAAACGCCGGATTTCCAAATCAGCAGTTGAACTAAGAAAGGATGAGTTTGGAATTCAAAGGGTGTAAAACAAAGGTCTACACTCGGAAGACACATTAACAAGGCAGCATCCTAAGATAACCAGACCAGTTCAGCTGAAAGAAGATTAGAGATAAACAACCAGCCATCTAAGAAACCAAAAACCCAGCGAGTAAAGACTAACGGAACTGAAGTTACTACATTCTTAACATTATAATGGAACTCCATACATAAAAAGAGTTACTCCTGCCGTCGTACAACAAACAAAACATAAGTATCATGTCTTGGCTGAAGATTCAAAACAAACAAACGACAAAAATTGTCCGAAAATAACAAAACTCCATTCCACCATTCTGAAAGAATTCCTCAACGGTTGGCCTTAGCAACTCTTTCAATCTCATCTTTCTTCTTAATGGCATAGCTGAAGATTAAAAAAAAAAAAACTACTCAATAATGGCATAGCTGAAGGAAAAAAAACCACTCGGTAAAAATACAGAAAAGCAATTATCAAAGAAAAAACAATCAAGGAGAAAGGAAAAACACCTGTTTGAGGAACCCTTGGCTGCATTGATAAGTTCATCAGCCAAGCATTCAGCTATGGTCTTGATGTTCCTGAAAGCTGCCTCACGAGCACCAGTGGTAAGGAGATACAAGGCCTGGTTTACACGCCTAAGAGGTGAAATATCAACTGCCTGACGTCTTACAACACCAGCTGAGCCAATACGAGTGGCATCTTCACGAGGCCCACTGTTATAAACCATCAAAAAAGTTGTGAGGTGAACAGAAAGGGAGCAATAACAGAAAAATACCATGTCAAGATAAGAACACAATAAATACTAATCTTCCGCTGATAACTAACAGTGACCAATCTATAAGAAACAAAACTATGTAATTGATCACAAACCTGTTGACCACAGCATCAACAATAACTTGGATTGGGTTCTGATCAGTCAAAAGATGAATGATCTCCATGGCATGTTTGACAATGGTCACAGCCTTCAATTTTTTCCCATTGTTTCTGCCGTGCATCTGAAGAGAGTTTGTGAGCCTCTCAACAATTGGGCACTGGGCCTTCCTGAAACGCTTGACAGAGTATCTTCCAGCTGTATGGGGGACATATGTTGCGTGCTTAACTTGGACTCCGACATAGTCAGCAAGAGAAATGTCATTTACCTGACCACCAAAATAAAATCAAACCAAATCCAAATCTAAGGAGTAGCATTATACAGCCCAATAATTTATAAGGCAATTTCTAAGATGTTTAATCAATCAATTTCAGAGATCCCAGTGGCATCCATCAGTTCCAAATATCATGAATGAATTAGACATCAACTTAAGATGCAACTGCTGATCAGAATGACCGAGACTACCGACTCAGCAAACAAAGCCATGAAATAGACAAACTAAGATTTTCAAGACCATGAAAATATGTACCCTTAAGATCCAATTAGCTACGAAAACAACTAAGCAAACAGGAGCCATCATCACTAATTAAAAGTGAACCAACTTCACCTGCAGCTCTACACACCATAAAAACCACAAAAACGTTACATGATTCCCCAACTACGAAATCTTTTAGTACAAATTTTTTATTTTATCTCATCAGTCTACCAAGGATTCTTCTAGTAATACAATACACAAGAAAATAACAGCAAAAACAATAGAAAACAATTACAAATCTCTTCAAATTTTACCACTTAAAAGATCACATTCACTAGGCAGTAAGCCCAACACGACCAAACATTCAAATCCTAGAAAAGATAGGTCAAATCCAATTACTTCATAAATCAACCACGAATCGAATTACAGATCAGTTAATGGTGAGCCTATTAGGGAAAAAGGAAGGAAAAATACATTAATATCATCGAAAGACCAGCGATTGAAGAGCTTGACATCGTAGATAGCCTGATTAGCTTCTGGGTTTGGTGGAGCCACCACAGCTGCTGCCATCTTCGCTTGTTACCTGCACAAACAAATACGTTCACAGAGGAAACGCTGTTTGTTATATTTTAAGAGATAGAGAAAGAGACTGTGAGTTGCAGACCTGGAAATCGAAGAGATAGAGAGGCAAGCGGCACTGAGCTCTCGGTGCTGGGGATTACAGAAAAGCTAGAACGACCAAGGCTTTTAGCTATATATAGCGGCTTCGAAATAGAATTAGGGTTTTGGTCAGGCGTGAAAGCGGGTGTGGGTTGAGGTATCTTGGGCTCTAGCTTGTTGGGCTTCTTCTTTTTATATAATTAACTGGTTTAGTTATTCAAGCTTGGGAATTAATATCAAAGAAAGATAACATTTCAGTAAATATTGATGAATTAGGTGAAGATGCGGAAAGAGAGGGATTCGAACTTTGTAAGCAAAAGTCTACATAATGTTCCAAAATTCAAAAACACCTACATCAAGAATTGAACTTGCGACGTCAAAATCGCCCATCTCCTCAGCCACGTGGAATTGTTGGTCGCTTAAAGCAAATATTATATATTTGTTTATTGGCTCCCCTAAATATCAACTTAATTTTTTAAATATTAAAAAAATATTACTAACATAATTTTTTTTTAACTATATTATTCAACTTGATATAACAAGCAGACCTGAAATTTCACAACCTCCCTGTTTATTTAACTCGATTTTTAAACTATATTATATGCAAATTGAATCAAATTAAATTAATTAATTTCTTAGATTAAAATTCAAATTTAATAACAGGTGAAAATATAAATTAGATAAATATGATATTTTTTTCACAAAAAACTATTGAGATTATAAAAAATTACATTGATCTTAGTCTCAAGTAAATTATATTATGGGCTCCACTAAATTTAATAATTTGTTTTTTATAAAATATTTTTTAATTATATAATAAAAATACATGATGAAAAAATTTAGCGTCAATTCAAAAATAAAAACTTATTTAAGATAATAATAATTCTAAAAAAAAACCATGCAATTTATTTTTCAATCAATCCAATATTACATATTAAAACACTAAAACCCATTTTATTCAAAAACACACAAAACATCCCACCCGAATACTCTCATTTACAGCCAAAATAAAAAAATAAAAACCCAAAAAACTGTTACAAAAATCAAAACTCAACTCCAACCCGAAAACCTTTCGAGACTTTAATAGATGCATCAAATAACACCTCTATGCTCAAGACTATCTTCTTCAATAGATACATCGAATAACACCTCAATCCAATTCAATAGCAATCTTCTTCATGGCTGAATCGTTATTAGCTGATGATTTTATCTCTTTTCTCTATAATTCGAAGAATCCCTTTCTCATCTCTCCTACCAAGGCATAAGAAATAAGAAAAATAAAATATCGAACCAGCTGAAATTTGCTTCAGAATAGGCTGGCCATTATTTTTCTGATTTTAACATTTTGGTCCCTTATCTTTTAATGTCTTTTTTTAATAATATTTGACAAAATAGAAATCAATTTAGTTTATAAGAATGAAATTGACGGAAAAAAATTGAAGACAAAAGAAAGAGTTTACAATGATTGTCATCTGCGTTTTAGTATATGTTACAATAATTATAATAAATAAACCGCCTAAATCAATCTCTCTACAACAGGATCATGTGCATCTTAAACAAAAAGTTCAAGCACTATAACTCTGAAGAATCAGAGAACCACCAAAATGGCTTTCAAGGAACAAGGAATGGGGTTGAATGGAGAATAAATTGCAACAATAATTTTTTACTGCATCAAGCAAGCAGAGTAGTGCGACAAAGGCACATTGGACCCATATATCCCACAAGAAGGCAAAATTCCTCAGCAAGGTCGGTGCATTGAAAATAATAAACAGAAAATACTCTGAAGCAAGAAAAAAAACATCAGGGAGCAACTCAAGAACCAAACTTTCAAGTCTTTTGACATCAACCACACAGAAAATACTTCTATATTTCAATTAAAAGAAAGCTCATGACACCATTGGTAGATCAGCGGAGTCTCCTTGCCTCCCTTTCAGACTCAAGCAAAGTAAGGACATCCCCTTCTCTCACAGGTCCCTTCACATTCCTCATGATGAACCGATTTGGATCATCAAGAAACTTGACTCTAACCTGAGTCACCTGCCCCCTCGATCCAGTCCTACCCATGATTTTCATCACAACCGCATGCTTAATCTGAGAATCCATCCTGCAAGAAACCAGGAGTTAGGCTAAGATGACCAAACTTGTACGAGGCAAGAATCCAGGTCAATGTTCATTACCGGATTCCATCCACCAGATAGAACAACAGTACAGCAATGACTTAATAAAGAGCAACAACAAATTCCCATTGATAAAATAATTAAAAGGGAAGCAATCAAATCATCGGCCAACACAAATTAACCCAAATCCAGCATATGCCATGTAACATCGGCCATCTTATGTTACGAAAGATATGTCTAACTATCAAGCTAGAACCACAACCTAAATTTCTTTTGTAAATATAAAGCATATAATCTATCTAATACATTATGCATGGCATTACTCTTTGCCCCGCACAAAAACAAACAGTAACAACAACAAAAAAATGAAAACTCAATTCATATAAAGCACTTTGAGATTTTTTCCCACAGAATTTCCCAGAAACCAAACAGACCTACCTGCTTTATATGTATTTTCCCAGTAAAACATACAATACTTCAAAAACAAAAGAGAGAAGTGAATAACAAGAATGATTCACTAAATCGTAAATACATGAACAAGAGATCGATTGACGTAGATACTTCAGGAGATCTACTGTGATCAAACCAGTCATCGAAAAAGATTGAATGGCTAAAAAATACAAGAAAAAATGTAAGGAACCGCGGAGAAGGGAACCTGAGAGGAACGCAGTAGCCGCCTGTAGCTGGTTTTCTGGTTCTTGCAAAGAGGAAGGCAGAAAATATTAGGGTTGTGTTGTGAAGAGTAGGCTTAGTTTGGGGTATTTAGGTAATTAGGAATTTAGGTTTAATAAATTGTTAAAAAATACCGATTCACACAACGAAAAGGGATAATCGACAGCAGACCTATGCTATAGGAATACTGAGTTTGTTATGGATTAAATTTGTATATAATATTAAGATGTGCGATATTTTTAAAAAATAATTTTTTTATTAAAAATATATTAAAATAAGACCTATGCTGTAGAAAGGAAATTATTGTCATTTTTAGAGGATAAAATGTGATTTTTTCTTTTTTTAGTTACAATTTAAGCACCATATTTTTTTTTGTCATAAACTCTCTTTATTGATTAAGATGTTAAATCTTTTTTTTTTTTTTATTATGATCATTATGTAATCTTGTGTAAAAATAATTTATTTAAGCATGTTAGCTCTAAACCAACAAAGGCATATTAGATAAATGCAATATATTTATAAGTCGATAAACTTGCTTTATATATTTTTTTTCAATTTTTTTCTTTTAATTTTTTTCTTAAATATTTTTTTAATTTTTAATTAATTATCATAATTTATTTCGGTTTTTTTAATGAAATTATCATAATTTATAAGTCGATAAGCATGGTTTTTTATTGCTTCGGTTCAATAAAGATGACGGTTTTGCATTTAACCAAACTATAAAAAGTATATCGGAACTCGTGGAACCTGGTGACACGGTAATTTTCTGCAGCTCTTTTGCTTGAAAGGGCTGATCTCAGGATTCCCAGGTTCAGTTTTTGGGTTTGCGATCACTAGGTAAATGTTTTGAGTTCTGAAAGAAAATATTTCTCCTGAAAAAGCTGGAAGGCTAGGACTTCACATTCTCCCTCACAAGACGAGATGTCCCTCGTCCTCCCTGGCTAATGGTATTTTAGATGTTGCAGATGACTTCAAGAAACCTTAAGAATGATATAGAAACCCTTTGTCTCAAATGTTGGGACAGCTAAGTGCCTGCTTAACCCTTTCCTTTTTATTTCATTTTTGCGTGTCTACTGTCTACAGAAGAGAGGTATTGATAATGGCGTATACAAAGAATGCCCTATATCATTTCTATTCTATCCCAGTAAGTAAGCAAAAGAAAAATTCTTGATCCAACAGTGTCTAAAGGTTTGCTGTTTGTGAAAATAACTCTTGGTCTGGAGCAAGGGGACTTCTGCATGATGTTTCTTTAAATAATGAAACTTGTGTCAAAACCATTGGTGATGAAACCTTCCGGCTAAGCCGAGGTGCGGTCCGTGGTGATGAGTTATCACTTCTTGTTCTTGGCGACAAATTTGCATTCTCTAACACCCGGAATCGAAGCTCCGATGGATAATCCCTCATGCATCCTATCCGTGGCCCTGCACCAGTAGTCCATTTAGATGATGGTAATTGCTTCGCCAATTGATATGAATGCATTCCTTTATGAGAATCTATCCTTTGGAGGATTTTTTCTTTGGGGACGGGCTCCTCATTTGCTTCTTCGTTATCTTCGTCAAACAAGTTGAGTTTAGTAATCATGAAATCTTCCTCCGTCAAAAATGAATCTCCTGCCGCCTCATAGCCATCTTCTCCAGAAGAATCAGGATCTTCAGCCTGGCAGCTTGGTCCAAGTTGTTCTGTTTTGAAAGTGTCAAACACATCTCCTCTTGTTGGTATTTCAAGTTCAGTAATTTTAAATTGGAATCCACGTGACAACTTTGATGTGTGCAGATTAGCATTTTCTGCCACATTAGAATCTTGTTTCCTTGAAACTGTGTTCTCTAGAGCCAAGACAACATTTGTTACTTTGGTGTCTTCAAGTAAATCTGCATCAGGTTGGTCTCGGAGGCTACCACGAATGTCCTTTTTTATAACAGATCCATCTTCTTCATCAGTTGGGCTTTCCTGAATATATAAGAGAAGAAGAGAAGTGCATCAATGATTCGCCACAACAATTCCGAAAATGCATAAATGACAGCTTGAAAAGTAATAACCGATGTGCTATGAACCCTGGAGCACAAAGTTTCCACATAAAAGAAAGGCATGAGCCTTTGGCTTCCTACAGAGGTGAAATTGTTACCAATGTCAATTGTAGAGACCACTATATTCAGAACAACCCTAATTCATGGGAAATGGTACTAATTTGGATGCTGTCAGCTGATAGTGTACTGTTGAAAAATCTTTGTTTCATGGGGTTTATAGCAGATGCTAACTTCATTGATGTTACTGAGAGCAAACTTAATAGTTTATTACCTTTACATCGGTTAGATCTACGTTGTGTTCCCTGAGGAATGACATGAATGCCTGGAAGTTTTCTTCTGTTGGGAGATAATGGCCGCTGTGAGGCCAAACTGCCTGCCAAATCGAAAGAACATTATAAATATATAGAGAAAGTAAAATTAGGCAGAAAGGGGGGAATTCGTGAAGCTACCAAAGACAGTTTCTATGCTACCTTGAGAACACCATCTTCCACGACTAATCTTCCAGCAGATAGAGTGGCTCCACCAGCCAAGAAACTTGAATGTTGAAACGTTCCCTTGATCTTCAGACCAACATACAAGGTCTTTGATGTACTGAGAACAAAAATCCATTTGGCATCCTTCGGTCCTTCTATTGTATGGAGAAGTTTCCCACTTTGTTTATATAATAATCTCCCATTCTGCACTGATACTTCAAAAGATTCTCTTTCAGCCTGAAAGATAGACACAGTACTTGTAAGCAGATTTTAATAGCTGGGTAAGCCAAAAAAGATGGCCGAATATATAAAAATATTGACTTTCCAATCAAAGTTTCTGGCTTTGGAATAGATTTCAAATTGAAGCAGAAAACAGCTGTAACTATACCAACCACCAGATTTTGCAAGTCCTCTCATGACTAATAGAATAAAAGATTGACAATAAGTGATGATGCTTACAGGACCAAGATATTTAATGCATTGTTGTTGAAGCTTTGATCTAGGACATCTATCAAGGTTCACTTCTTTCCCAGCTCCAATATCGAGCCTGCAAGTTTAAGAGTTTGAGATCAACTGTGAATATTGTCTTTCCTGGAGCAAAGATGACATTGTCGTATGCAAGTCTTCAATTTCAAGAAAATTTACCAATAGAAGAAAGGCTGTGTGCTCTGGCAATGAAGCCAATTGACATAATAAAATTGAAGGTTATGTCCATAACGATGCCTTGGATCAATCTATTAAAGAGAGAGAATAAGATCAATATGAGGTAAAGTGAACCAGTATCTCCGTTCCAAAGTTTTATTTCAAGACTGTAACTTACTGCCTCTAGCCAATGCAGTAAAGCTAGCTTCCGAGCCTTTGCATCCTTCGACAAGCCTTTTCCCACCTGCAAAGGATAAAAATTCCGGTACTTAGAAATTCTGTACAATAAATTTGATAACACACACACACACACATCAATTTCTTTGGAACGAACCTTAGCAGCTCTCATTCTTGCTCTGGACCAACGTGAAATTGCAGTCTCAGGTTTCTCAATATCAAAAAAAGATATGGAGCTTCTCTTGAGCTCTGCAAATTCCAACAACTTCCACCTACAAAACATATCACAAGAACATTAATCTTCGAAAAGGAGATATCCCACAACAAAAAATTCAGAGAGAAACCTTTTGGAATATGTCTGTGTGTGTGTGTTTACACAGAGAGGAAAGCGAAAGAAAGATTTGTGTTCATGAAATAGATACAAAAGGAATTGCAGCTATAGACTAATACCAACCATCTCTGCTCGACAACAACAGCACAATCAGCCAGCTGCCTCCTGGTTCTGAAGCTTTTATACACTTTCTGCAATGTCACCGCGGCCTGGTGTCTTTGGTTCCCTGACTCAAGCAATGACAAGTGAAGTTTTTTGTCAGGCAAGCTATCTTCCCTTGTCAACTGATTACCCTTTTCTCCAACTTGAGGACTGATGATTGATCTAGCGAGCACATCCATATCCGAGGCAGTACTTTTGAAGGAGAATGTGGTACTGAATTCCCTCTCCTTAAAGCTAAGGCATTCTTCAAGTATCATCTTTCCTGAAACATATGATCTCATGGAATGAGGTTCTGAATCACAGACATTAAAACCGACAGATTTCGAAGCAGTCCCAAAACTAATTGATCTAATAAGAACAGTGTCGAAAGGACTATCCAATTCATGGAATTCAGCAAGGGCGCATGAGAAGGCCATTCCCATTTTAGGAAAGGAAACACAGGTATCTCTCTCAAACTCCAAACAAACAAGAGCTATGGGTCTCAATAACTGTTAGAAAATAAGCAAAACAAGGAGAATTGATTCAAAATAAAAATACATGGGATTAAAGGCATGGAATGTTAGAGATATCAAGACCCTTTTTTTTTTTTTTAGCGTTCTCAAATGTTCACCCACGCCTTTAATTAAGAAAAAAAAACACAGAGAGAGAGAGTTCATAAACACCATTTTTTCTACTTCTTCTCTAGACAGCTATTGACAGAGGCAGCAGTGACCGAAATATAACACATTTCCAAGGTTGGAGGCGAAAAGAAGTGGAAGCTTTCAGATTAAACAGACAAAGAACAAAGTTTTAGCCCAGTACACTGGAAAGGAAAAAAAATAACCATTCAGCTACGTTCCATGGCCCCCCATTATCATTAAAACGACATAAACAGGAAAAATCCATAATAAAAAAATATCAGGGCAAGTTTCATACAAAGAAAATGTCCATAATGTCCCATTTCCTAACCTTAACAAACAAAAACAACAGTCTTAAAAAAACAATGAATCAAAGTACATAGACAACAGCATAAGAACGAAATGAAGGGAACGTTGCAGGGTTACCTCAATCTGAGGCAGGACAGAGCAACAAAAAAATCTTTTGCAAGACGGGGAGAACCAATGAATGTTAAAGAGAAAGGAGGGATAATAAAAGATGGGAGATTTGGTAAGAAACGTGAGAGGGAGCGAACAATGTGGGGTTTGTTAATGATTTAAGCAGGTTCCAAGGACTGTTTACAGAATGGCTCTTTCTCTTGCTTTGTCAAAGGAATTTGTTGTGTTTGTTCTTTCAATGCTAGCCAAATTAATAGGTTGGCTTCCTGTGCTATTCTTGCAATGCAAATCAGTGAGGTTTATATATATATAGAAAAAAAAAAAACAGCAAGAGAGATGCAGAGCTATGGGTGTCACAGCACAGGTAGACATATTCCAACCATCTGTGCTGACTTCAAACCACTTTTTTTTTTTTAACAACTTATATTTTATTCTTTCCTTTTCGAATATAAAGTATGTTTTGAGTATTTTTTTTATTCATTCCTTCTCTTAATATTTGTGTGGTTTAAAAGAGTTTAGAATACCATAGATTTAATAATATATAATACCTGATTTAGTTATTAATTAAATTCAAGATAATATGGATAAGATAATGTGTTAAATTTAGTATATTTGTGTTCAACTATTAAATAAATCTAAAATAATGTGAGTCGAGTAAGTTGTTAATTCTAGATCTTAAGCCTATTTTAATTAATTTTTGTATTCATTCATTCTTTTTAATATTTTTAATTTTGGACTAAAATGAATCTTTTTTTTTAATTTTTAGCTTCATTATTTTTATTTTACTTGTAAAAGGGGATGAGATTAGCCTGAATCGAATGAATTATATTGCATGCATATCATATTACCAATATATTGGTCTAAAAAATGATTTCAGGAACTAATTTAATTCACAATTCCATTTGAGAAATCAGAATGTGGGGCATTATTATTGTGGAAGGAGATTGATATAAAGATTTTTATTTTTATTTTTTTAATTGTTACGTTTCTCAAAATTGCGTTCAAGGAATTGGCCGGCTAAATTAATCACGCCAATTACCTACCCTTTTTAATTGTAAAGCCAATACCCTGCTTCAATTAAGTGCATTAATGTGAAGGGAAATTAATAGAAATATTTTCTTTATTAATTGCAACGTTTCTAAAAAATATGCTCAAGGAATTGGTCAACCCTAAACCAATCAAGTCAATTACCTACCATTATCAATTGTAATGTCGATTGCCTTCCTTATTTTAGTGCTAGAAGCACCAAATTTGTATTCCAAATTCCAAGCCAAGTCATTGTTTATAGTAATTCTCACACACAAAGTCATTGTTTGTGGTAATTCTCACACACAAAGTCATTGATGCTAGTAGAAGATTGCATTTGATAGGGACTCGGAGATATCAAAGGTTGATGTGACTCGCGTGGAGTTAAGAGAAGCCTACCGACCATGACCACCTGTATGTTTAGTGTCTTTTTCTGAGAATGATTTGGTAGTTTTGAATTACCTTTTAATTTGATTTTTGTTAAATTTTGAATTTTTTTATTAAGATATTTTTAATATGTAAATATTAAAAATAATTTTTATTAAAAAAACACTTTAAAAAATAATCCCGATTACACTCCTATGTACACTTCTTTAATCATCTACGAGCTATTTATACCACTATTTTGCAGGGTATTTTTCCTGGCAAGTTCCTCGAATTCTTATTCGGTGTAAAGAAACTTTGAAACTCGAAGGTCCCAAGGCCATTCATAAGGATTTAAAGAAAGAAAGACAGAAAGAGCTGCTCCCATCTGCGAGCAGAAAGAAAGCAAATTAATACTAATAAGTAATTCTAATAAAAATTAGCAAAAAAAAGTGATGTCGGAAAGTTTTAGCTCCACCGTCACAGTACGCAGATTAATGGTACCCTAAAGTACATCTTTCATCGAAACCTAGATTGCCACGATTAGTGCTATCTCTTGCCCTTGTCGCATTATATTGAGGTAGCTGCCACTCTCCGAGAACTTGCAAGTTGCTCCGAGTGAGAGTGTATCCACGCGACACTTGGTAGCGTGGGAGCTATTATTGTTCAAAGTCAAACAACGTAGACATGTGATGATATACAGCTGCTTCTCGGGATCCATGCAACAGCTGTGGTACCTTTTGTTTACGGATACTCAATTCAGAGACACGTTTATTTTTTTTAATATAGAACGTTAAAAAAGAAAAATAAGAATGATAGAAATATTTAGAAAAATAATATAATTTGAATACTTAAATGTTATATCTGCGACCAAAAAAATATCCAGTGCAATTGTTTTAGCTTCTCAATTCATTTTAACAAATAACCAACCCAATAATTTATAATTTATAAACACTTCATCTTCTCAACACAATTAAAAAATTAATAAATTTCACAACTCATTAAAATTAATAATTAATAATTCTTGTAATATTAAAACATATAATCAAATTACGTTAAAGTATTATCTTAACATGGACAAACAGAGTACCAATGGACAAGTGGAGCCTATGCATAAACATACACAATTTAATTCGTCTAATTCGAAGACAAACCTACGACACCAAAATTATCTCAACTCATAAACAACTTAAAATGCTCTGTCTCCTTAAACTCCTTAAGTCCACCAACAAGAATAATAATAGGTATTCACACATCGAGTTTCTCTATATTTATATCCTAGTTATTACACATTAAATAAAAAATTTAAATATTTATGCCCTAAGTATTGGATTTCATGTATCCATATGAGTATTTATTATTTAACTATTATTTAATATATATATTTATTTATTTGAAGTGTATATATTAAATGATAAATATTACACATATATGTGTGTACTATATCAGCATTGAGAAAAGTAAATATTATATTGGATTCAAAAAAATATAAATGTTTTACACACACGTATATATTGAGTTTGGTTTGGGTTGATCCGAGTCGTATTTGATAATATTCATATTTTATCCATTATCGCTTGAATAGGATAATTATCCAAAAATACTCTACTCATTCAGATCAAGTTAGTATCCATCATGTTTGGATTAAATTGTCATGCATTTCCACCATATACATGAAATTAAGCATATTGTTGGTCAGGACAGAAATTACTACTCTCTTAAATGATAAATATTACACATATATGTGTACTGTGTCAGTATTGAAATATGTAAATATTATATTGGATTCAAAAAACTATAAATGTTTTACACACACACATATATTGAGTTTGGTTTGGGTTGATGCGAGTCGTATTTGATAATATTCATATTTTATCCATTATTACCCGAATAGGATAATTATCCAAAAATACTCTATTCATTCAGATCAGGTCAGTATCCATCATATTTGGATTAAATTATCATGTATTTCCACCATATACACGAAATTAAGCATATTGTTGGTCAAGACAGAAATTACTACTCTTTAAGCTTCTTATAATAAGTGAAGCATTTAATAAATACATTAAAAAATAATTATCATCCATTATTTATAATAACAATTTAAATAGGCTGACAAGAGATATATTTAATGTAACAATTAAACATTCACTACTTCCTTCATTATAAATAGTATTATTATTGATATAGAAAATATTACCACCATAAAAATATAGCATTTCAATACCGCAGGACATTATGTTAAACAACACAATGAAATCTAAGTTTAATTTAGCAATATAGCAAATTAATTAAGGTAGATCATTTCAATAAAAAGTTCATTAAAAAAAACTCTAACCATAACATGGTTGGTAAAAACCCAAATTCATTAATTTTCTAAATAAATAATGAAATTATTAACATAATTTATATATTTCATAACTAATGAACATATTTTTTTCAAACCAATTTCAATAAAATTCCTAATTTAACTTTAAAAACCCTAACCCTAATTCACAATCAAGAACAACTCAAAATCATTTATTTTCATAAAAAATAACAAAATTAACAACTCAAATTAATATGTTTTATAGCTAATTAACACAATTTAAACCTAATTTATAAAAACCTATTTTTTTAAAAAAAGAAAACCCTAGTTCTAAACCTTAAAATAATCAACATCAACAATTAACACAATGAACATATTTTTTTCAAACCAATTTCAATAAAATTCCTAATTTAACTTTAAAAACCCTAACCCTAATTCACAATCAAGAACAACTCAAAATCATTTATTTTCATAAAAAATAACAAAATTAACAACTCAAATTAATGTGTTTTATAGCTAATTACACACAATTTAAACCTAGTTCATAAAAACCTATTTTTTTTAAAAAAAAACCTAGTTCTAAACCTTAAAATAATCAATATCAACAATTAACACAAATTTATATATATATATATATATATTGGAAAATCATCAAATTGCAAAATAAATAAACAAAACTCCAAACAAAGTGAAGCTGGAAAGCATGATGGAAAGGCAAGGACATAGGAAAATGATAAAACAACATGATCAAGTCCTAATAGAGACATGCAGCGTACGAGAGGGTTGGATTTGAGGTAACATAGACAGCTTTATGTGCTTCCACTCATTTTGACAGAACGCCAATCAGAGACTTTAGCAGAAAGCAAGCACCGACGTCCCTTTCAGTCTCTCAGTGGTTATTAAAAAAAATAAAGAAAATTGCAAAGATGAAAAAATTTAATTAAATTAATTAGATTTTTTAAAAAAATTAACTGATTTAATTTTAATTTTATAAATCT